ACCGGCCGCACAGTTTCGCGGTCCCTTAAGAATCATTGAATCGAACCCTTAGTTATTTGACTAAATCCTTGTATGCTTATTACGAAGAATTGAACGAACGTGGAAAACTTTTTGATATCGTACAGAAACGAAAGAATGATATATTGAACGTAACTTCAATCAGCATAGAGAATCATATAGGTGCTTTGTTGTATATCCATTCATTGAATGACCCATATATGATAATGAAGTACAGATTGTCTCATCTCGATAAAATAATACGTGAAATGAAAGATATGGAAAAAGAGATCAACAAAAGATTCGGAATAAAATTTCATTACAGCAACTTTTTGGATAACATACAGCAGCATACTTCAGGATATCATTTTCATTTCATCATGATGTTCGCTCTTAAACAACCAGACAAGACCTAAAACGAAGCTTGATCCTTCAATTACAATATCGGGTCATTGGTTTGCGTGACTCCCAAGAAAGACCCCGAGGGGGAGTTGACAGACACCCGGTAGTTGAAGCTCTGCTGGATACCGTCGGTGCGTGTGTAGGTTGTGTTGTTCTTGATGAGCTCGATGGAGAGCGCGAGGGAGCGGATTCGCTTCTCCTTCTCCTCTTGCTCCATCACCATGCTGTGTGGGGAGTGAAGCCCGCCCCTAGATTTTTTTTTCCTGTTTTTTTTTATTTTTTTTTAAATACCCAAAAAAAACAGGGGTTTTCCCTCCAAGTAGCCCGTCCCGCCGCCGCCCGTCCAAGACTATTCCCGCCACGCGAGAGTAGCATGCCTATGAAGAAGAACAACCGCCCCGAGTCCGATGCCTCCATGGAGGTCGATGAGGCTCCAGAAGCTACCGCAGAAGCTATGCAGGAAGCCACCGTCAACACGGAGCTCCTGGTCCCCGAGCCGCTCCTCCACCCCAGCAACCTGTGGCTGGAGGGGCTGGCGCTCCCCTCCCCGGAGGACCGCCACGAGAACCTCCCCACGGTGATCGCGATGGTGGTGGACCCGGTGTACTGCCGCCTGGGGGTGTTCAACCAGGCGAAGACGATGTCGGGCGGCGATTCCAGGTCGCTGCCGAGCCACTTTGTGGTGCTGGCGCCCTTCTCCGCGGGCTGGGGCAAGGCGCCGCTGGAGGACAAGCCGCTCAAGAACGCCGAGTTCCTGAGTGAGATCCATGTCGATGCGGACGGGAGGCGCGGCCTGATGATCTACTCCTTCGACAAGCACGAGAGCAACCAGCAGTACAAGGGCGCCGTGAGGAAGGACGTCGCTACCCTGGTCCAGGCGGGCTGCACCCTGCGGCTCTCGACGACGACAAAGACCTTCGAGTTCGAGAAGCAGAACAAGAAGACCGGGCAGAGGGCGCTGTTCCCGGATGTGGACACCATCCACCCCTTCACGCTCGTCAAGCTCTTCCTGAAGCCGAACAATGCCACGAAAGGTCGACACTCCGGGGGACGTGTCACGATCAGAGCATCGAGATCATCC